TTGGGAGACTCTCAGAAACTTGCAAGACAAAGTGCATAGTAGCATGAGAAACTTAAGATGACCAAACTTTATTCCATATATGAAAGAATGATCTCAACATTAAAAAACTACCAAAAAAGCAGTAAAAAATTTCATTACATACAACGGGACCTAAGGATGCTCACTTTGGCCTCTACTAAGTTTAATGGCATAGTAGAATAAATTAATTATCTCTGCAGACCAGAGGAATCTAAAAATAGAACTGTTATTTTATGTAGAAAAGCCACTAAGAAGTCTGATGAACTCCTACATATTACAATTTTTGTTATCATACACACACACACACAGACCAGGTACAATCAGCTAACAGGAGTATTGCTTCTGTTAATTTCACAGGGAAAAGCTGTTTGATGCTACGTGACACAAGACATTTCATGATTCTCTGTATCTGATGTATTAAGATAAATTGTGTCTTGTATACAGCAGGTGTGATTTTAAAAATATGAATGTTGACAAGCTGTGTATTAGTTCTACCCACAGAAACAGTTAGCACTAAACTAATAATATTTTTTCCAATAAAAATGAAATGTAACACTGAGCCGTGCCGAGGGAAAAAAGTGGACTAGATAACCTGTTACAGTGTTCTTGCTGTACAAATGTAACATGTGAACAGATACTTAACATTATTTCATATTTTACTAGCATTTTTTTAATATTTATTCAAACTACTATACATAAGTGGCCAATTTTTCATGCGATGTTGCCTAAGCTGTACCGCAAAAAGCTCCATAAGCCTCTGCTCTACAATCAAAGCTTACATAGATGAGAACTCACACACACAGACAGACAACTAGACTGGTAGTAGCTGGTGTGTGCTTATTCCCATACACGCTCATAAGATGCAACAAAGACTCCACATTATAAAGCAAAGATATCATTCATGCCAATTAATTGCCACTAATGCAGTATTTCTTATACCTGAGTGACACACAAAAGTAAGTTTGCTAAAAGATCTCTGTACACAACTCAGATGCACAGGCATACAATTTGATAAGAAAAAAAACTTTCTTAAAAGATCAGTGAGGACATCTAAAAAGTGTGTAACTCTCTGGGGGAGAGAAAATGAGGAACATGGATTTAAAGAGGAGGAATTTAGAATGAGTCTGTGCCACTCTTTTCTAAAATACAGTACAAGGTAGATCAATCCATAGAATGACTGAAGCACACTACTTTCACTTTGGTTGTTCCAAAGACAAAAGTCAGTGTCACCAGGAAAATATTCATATATGAAACCTGAGCACACAAGTATCAAGTGACTTAAAAGAAGTTTACATCATTGTGCCAAAACCACATTAATATCCTGTGACTCAGAGGTGTGATTGTGCCCTTTTTTTTTTTCTTTTTTTCAATTGGACTACTCAAATACACGAAGCCCTGATAGCATCTGGTGCTGAGAAATCCAAAGAAAATGATCTACCATCTGCAAAATAATTGCCCAATGATCAGGACAGGCAATAATCCATCTCACCAAATCAGATGGTGAAAGAAGGCAGCCACACAATTCCTATAGCAATACCAAAAGAAATATAATATGCTGAACTGCACATGGAGCAAGAACCATGGAAAGGACCTAACAGGACCATTCAGAAGGACCTAATTTGGCCATCAAAGATTAATTTCGCAATCACACTTCTGGATACACTTAAAACTTTTGTAGCTAGGTGCCTTTTGAAGAATGTCTTTTAGGTTCAAAAGGTAGAAATGATGTCTCCAAGCATATCTGACACTCATACACGTAAAATCTATCATCACGTGATAACCTTCTACGCACAACAGTAATTTTCTGGTTGCGTATTTACACTATGATGCCTCTTTCCTCCTCCTGAGACAGAAAGGACATCAGTGCAAAACAAGAGTCAGTAACAAGGAATGTGAAAGCCTGAAGAATCTTAAGCAGTAGCAACAAAGCAGTGAGAGACGACCTCAAGGCATTAGGACTTGAGATTAGTTTTTTAATTGATAAAATACATTATTGGCTGGTGGCCAGTCTCTTAGGTAAGTCACATAACTATAATTTAAAATAGGAATAAAAGCACATTTAAGTAAGAATACCAATTCAAATCTAGGGGCTTAAATTACTAATTGGACACCTGTATATGGCCTCTAAGTGCAGACTGAAGAATTGCCTCTTGAAGAATGAGACACCAATACACAAACTCAGGGTATTTGTGCCTGTCATTCTAATAAAAACTAAAATGCCATTACTTGTTCTCAAATTATGTTGCATAAGTGTCAACTGCTAAAGCAACTATTACAGTGATATCATGGGCATCTAGTGTCTTTCTTCCCACAAAGAGTGGTCATTTATGACCATGTTAATCAGCTATCCTTTCTTACATGTCTGCAAAACCACTGGACAATTTGGGATTTTTGGAGGACAACTTCACTTCAGCATGATAGCCAGAGTAGATTTGTTAAGATGGAATTTCATACAGGAGAATGGCTGGGCTTTAGCTGGTTTTCAGTATTTGGCTGTGTAGCGTTTATTTTCCATCTGAAAGGATTATCCTAAGGACAACAAGGCAGGCTGAAGGCGCTCAAAATCTGCTGCAGACTCTTCTATCACCATCTCTGATGGCTTTGTCCCCTAGCAACTATCAAGTAATAGGCACAAAATCTCATCTGGCAGTTTCTGGTCAGTTTCATACTGCCCAGGCTCAGTCAACTCACAGGTCGTCTCTCCAGAAGTTTCAGGAAGAAGAGGTATTTACTCAAGACACTAAGGCCACCATATTTTTGGCCATGTGTTTTGCTCATAATACAGAAAACCAATTTAAAATTACGAACAAGCCATTTTTGCTCAGCTAAAAGACAAAGCTGTGCACCCTCCTGAGTTGCCCAAGGTATGCACAGCTGTCAGCGCCATTATAGTCAGCTTTGCTAATGAGTTGCTTGGGCCCATCTACACAGCACACTCCAGTACCATGTGATGGTCTTGGTCATCAGCAGCTGGAACATCCTTATGCAGAAATATGAGCATGGGTCCTGGAAGCTGCATTAGCCAACCCATGCAGCAAACGGACATCTGACCTAGCCAGGGCTGCACTGTGCTCTCAACAGTATCTGCAGGCTCTCTGGAAAGCATCCCAGGGTGTCCACCCCCACCTCAGGCCAGGATGTTTAGAGAGATGCCAAGGCTGTTTCATACGTGTAGCACACTAAAAGCAGTTTCCCAATGCAGATGAGTCAGTCCCAGGGCTAGCTGCCTCCCCTCTCTCCATCTCCTTCTCCTGCCCTTGCCCTTGTACAGGACCTTGCCTGATCCTCTTTGATGAGCCACTTAAAGGTTGAGCCAGGCAGTAGTGGGACACTGTATGGTTAGGGGGTTGGTGGTTGTTTTTCTTTTCTATTTTTTTATTTTATTTTATTTTTTTAACTCCTGCTCCTGGTTCACTCTGGGGTCATTAGTGATGGTGCAATGGAGAAGACAGGGATCCACAGAATTGGATTGAGTGCATGTGGGAGAGAGAGTCAGAATCAGTGTCACAGAGCTGTGAGATAAGTTCAAGTTCCAATCTGATAATATTGCCAAGTTTGCTGCAGGAAAATACTGTAAAAGAGCGAAATACTGCTAACTTAGCAGCTGGTGGTATTTAACTATGCATAATGTATTCTACAGGAAACCCACCAGCAAATATTTCTATTAAATTGTAGTAGTAACAATCTGTCTGACTGAAAGGAAACATGATTTTCAAACTTACGTAATACATACATTTGAAACCAGCACTCTCTGGTGAGAGTACAGCAATGATAGGTCAGCAGCTACCAAAAACTGATTTCATTGCTTAGAGTTGTAAGTCTGCCACAGCAGCCTTACAAGCAGCAAGCTGTTGTTACTCTGCAGTGGTGGCAACTGCCTAGTAGGAACACACTGTTTATGCTTGGCTGCCAGAAAGTGAGTTCTGATACAGGTATTTCACAGCACAGACAAACAAGTAATTGTTAAAATTAACTACATGCCATGCAGCTACTACTACTACAAATTATAACAAGCGAAGTACACAGACAATCTAATTCACCCTGTTCTTTCTACATTCAGTGTTAAAACTCCAAACAATGAACAAAACATGCTCATATGACTCCTATAAAATGAAAAAAGGACATACTCCCATGAAAATGAACCTACTTGCTCAGCTGTTTTCTGTTTCCCATTAACTGACCACAACAAAGCAACAGCAGAGGTCATATTTCCCAACTTCTGAAACAATTAGCTCACTACATCTCAAGAACCACTGTTAGGTTTCGTTTGGTTGGCTTCCTTTTTTATTAGGAAGAATGCAGTTATTCTCATTTAAGCTGGCTATGAGGTTCATACCATTCTTTGAAATGACTGGATCTCAAAAAGATAGGTGTTGAATGTGATTTTTAAAATAACAAGGAATAAACAAATACATGGCAAACCTTGTTCTACAAAATACATTCAAACTGATCTTCCAATAACATCCCTTTTTGTCAACAGGATTAAATTAGCAGAGAATCTTTTCTAGCTGACCTTCAAATAATGTCCCTTTTTGTCAATGGAATTAAATTAGCAGAGAGTTTTTTCTAACATCAGAACAGAAAGAAAGAAATATAAAAGTAAACAGAAGCAAGGCAAACAACATACCTAGCAGTAAACTGTCAGTTTTCTTTCCTAACTGCAGCTACTATTTAGTAAAATGGTGCTATGTTGAGATTATTTATTTCCTGTTAACTTCTTTCACCTGACAATCTAAAAAAAGACTTTTGAAACAGAAAGCTTAACAGCAGTAACTTTCCTCACACCATATCTTGCATGAGGCTTGTGCACAGTTCCTTGAGCTAGTGATCATTTCTCAGTATGACATGCAAAGGCTTAATGGTGTCCTCCTAATTGAAATTACCAGATTTTTTCCACATGCCTGAGTCACTAACACACCTTTTTCCATATGTTTTATAGTAAATATTGGTAGTATTTGGCAGTAATCGGACAAATGACTCACCTTCACCTAAAGGAACCTCTTCCTCCTCACATGGAGAAGGAAGGAGAGGCTGTAAAGGTTCCATGTTGATTATGAGTTGCTTGTTCAAGGATGGAGAGCTGCGACTCTGGGTAATGCTGGTTCTGAAAGAACAGGGAAAAGAGGGTCAGTTTATTCAGGAGAAAACCACTGCAGATCCATATGTCTCATCTCAGAATTGTTTTGCATAAATTACACCAGGCCTTGAGCTATCATAACAAGCTCTGCACACTGAATGGTGCTTTCAGCCATGTTATGTTGCACCCTCAGCAGATACAAACCTTCCAACATCTGAAGTGTAAGAGAAGGTTTTGTGCTGGTTTACCTCCCTTTACACAGGCTGACTCCTTTTCATCTTATGCAGGATTTCAATGTGCTGCTCCTTTCCACACTGCATAGCACACAACAGTATTTGGCTTCAAGGAAGGGGAAGGTAGAGAGAATACAAATAATCTTCCCAATGTTGTTCCACTGCCTTCAGGATGGGATAAAGGATTTGTTACAGTTTAAGCACTGCAGACTAAAGACTAAAGCAGGAACAACTGTATCCCTTCAGCTAACAGATACACAGTGCTCTCATTCTCACGCATCCTAGACGTTGCCTCTACACCATGCCTCCAGGTGCTCAGGATGGTTTTCTTTCTTGTCTTACTTGGCTCTAACAGGCTTTTCTGGTAGTAGGTGTTGAACTTTCTCAGGGTAGTCTGAGGAATGCTGTTGATTCACATCACTCATGACGCTCATTAGCCTAAAATCATATTACTGAGAATACAAAATGGCTCTCTAGAATAAGTTATCTAGGACTTAGATGATATGGGCCTGAAGCAAGATTCCTGCAATAAATCTGAACCATTACATTACAAAATATTTATTTTTGACAAAAGCAAAGATGAAAGAGAAGAGGATTCTACTTGACTTCAAGGGGTACATAGGTACAGTGCTGAAGTTTCACAAAATGCATTTCAATTTTGCACAAAGACTTAACTTACAATTCCACATACATAAATAAACTGAACAAAGCATGTATTGCAAGTGAAAAGAAGGGACTGTGTGTTGCCAAGAGTTTAGGTAAATACAGGACACAGATATCCTACTCTAAGTCACATTACATGTCATTAAATATTCTGTGGGGATAAACAAGCTTTCTTGCTCCGTTGCCATGATTCCTTGCTCATTAATGTATGCCCAAAGCAACTTATGTCCTCATTTGCATTCTGTGAGCAGTCTCTAATAACTATTTAGTTTAAATTTTCACTATCCAAAGAAGTTTTTCACTCAAGTTACTGTAATTACAATCACTCCAACCCAACGGTACCTCCACAGGCTTGTTAGGCATTCCCTGGATCTTTGTGCCTGCTCTAAAGAGCTATCAAGCAACTCTCAAAACAGGAGTTGTGCCTGGGAGCACTCTATACTTATTTACAAAGATCCCTCCTTCCGGCATGCCCTGGAAGCAAAATGCTAAATCATTCAGTGTGTATTTGTCAGAACTTGCAACAGCATTAATGCTGCGAGACTACACACTCCCAACAGATTTTCAGTCTGTAGTGCTTTAAGTGTAATATCCAAACACAAAGATACAGAACAGTAACCTCCTCACAACTGCATGTCTCTTTCTCAATGCAGCCATGGTACCACTGAATTGACTTTGAGGGAGCGGGTGAAGGGAGACAAAACTTTACATATATATAAAAAAATATATATATATATTTGCCTTTAATCATATAATTTCCTCTAAATGTTTTGCATCTAAAAAACTACCATTTCCCATCCCCAAATCCTCTTTCACAGAGCAACTTGTTTCTAAAGCCTGATTTTTTTTGAGCTGAAAATTTTCTATGCTTTTTGCCCAGTTGTGCTGTTAGAAGGACAACCTATCTACCTCTGTCTCCCATTTCAAAACCTGCACTATAAAAACACTTGAAATCATTAGACTCTTTCTTAGTCTTTCTAAGAAATTTAATTTGGAGCTACCATAATATTGTAAATGCAAGCATTTTAAGAAGGTTAAGCATTAAAAATATACATTACTATTTATGGGTGTTAAATCCACATGACATTGCTCTATGAACTTATTTGCCCTCTGATCTGTTTCTTTATGTACACTAAGAGTTTCAAACAATATGTTTAAAATACTTTAAATATTGAAAGCAAAGAAAAGTAAAATACAAGACAAAAAATAATTTTATGTGAAAATCTCTTCTCATCTTATGAGAAAAAGAAACCCTATGGAAAGTAGGTAATAAGCTATTTCCTTCTGTGAGTAACTATTTTCATTCAAAATGCATTTGTGTGCCCACGTATTTTACCTTGCCTCAATGATGGACCTATATTCTGCCTTCTGTGTTCTCAGTTAACACATTATGGATCAACCCTTACCCCATTTTTTAAATGTAATCTGCAAAAGCATGTTCAAAGGCATCCCTGGATGGCCTTAATTATATAATACAGTCGGACAACATATTTATAAATATTTGCTGCAGATATATTCCTACTCTTAGTAAAGACAATCCACTTTTCTCTCAAATATACATGGAATAGCCATATTCAGTTAAAAATAAACCAAACACACACCCCTCCCCTGGAAAAAAATCACAATAATAATAGGGATATGGCTGTAGATTGTTCAGAAAGATAAGTAACCTTTTAAAAAAGTTTTTAAATAGCTTTTTCCTGCTGGCCTCTTTCTTCTCTTCTGAAGGACATTGAATAAGTTCTTATCAATCAATCTTGTCGCTACAATAACTGATAAGGACCAGAAAGCATCAGTTTGCTTGCAAAGTCTAGTTGCTTATTTCTAACAAGCCAAATTTTTCACTGAAAAAAAAGATTCTCTAATCTTTTCTCTCTTTACTGAATGAACTTCTTGCTTTTTAACTTGACTGCATTATGTAAAAACTACCAAGTATATTTTTAAATATACCCATACACATACACCAAACAGCATCTTTGAAAGTCCGTCAAGAACTAAGAATTAAATGAAAATGTACTTTTCTGTCAGGATCAGACTGTAATAACAGTCTATGTAATAATAGAGAAAATAATACAAGCTACTTATCTGACTGATTGATTAAAACCAGTTTTGAAGCAGCACAGATTAAGTTCCCTTGTGTAGGAGACAATATGCTACTGTCAGAATTTTGTAAACCAGCAAGACATATTTCCCAAAGCTTGCCTCATTGTGGAAGCTCAGAATGACAGCCATAACATCTCACAGCAAGGGA